TTAATTTAGTGAAAAGTTTAGTATTTGGTCCCATATTCCAAATACATCAAGCTTGTGACTCTACAAACTTGTTGGATCAGATGCATTTTGTTTTGGTTGAGTTTCGGATTATGTGCCCAATGGAAATGAATGATAAATAATGATTTGTGTCATTTTGGAGTCACTTTTTATTGTAAATAGAATAGAATATGTTTCTGCACACTTCTACGTTAATCTGAACGCTACCATGATTATGGATAATCATAATTAATCGTGAATAATGATGAGTGAGAAAGTTACAGATGCACAAAGATCATTCCCCTGAAAACATGCTAACCTCACACAATCACCAATAACAGGGTAGGTTTGTTCATAGCTATAATATTTTATCGAAGCGTACTTGCATCACGCCACCACCATATCGGAAACTCTTGCTAGTGGGACCATGATAGAAAATTATTTCAGTCATATTTTATATGTAGCCTATGCACTGAGTGTACAAAACATCAGGAACTTCTTCCTAATATTGAGTTGCACCCCCTTTTGCCCTCAGAACAGCCTAAATTCGTCACGGCATGGACTCTACAAGGTGTCGAAAGCGCTCCACAGGGATGCTGGCCCATGTTGACTCCAATGCTTCCCACAGTTGTGTCAAGTTGTCTGGATGTCCTTTGGGTGGTGGACCATTCTTGATACACACGGGAAACTGTTGACCGTGAAATACCCAGCAGTGTTGCAGTTCTTGACACACTCAAACCGGTGCGCCTGGCACCTACTACCATACCCCGTTCAAAGGCACTTTAATCTTTTGTCTTTCCCATTCACCCTCTGAAAGGCACACATACACAATCCATGTCTCAATTGTCTCAAGGCTTAAAATCCTTCTTTAACCTGTCTCCTCCCCTTCATCTACACTGATTGTAGTGGAGTTAACAAGTGACACCACTAAGGGATTATACGCTTTCAACAATTGGATTTACCTGGTCAGATTCTATGTCATGCGGTCTACATTTGTTACGTTTTGTCCATTTTGGTGGGTTTTGCTAAGTGATGGTGGGTTGTGCTAAGTGTGTGGTTGGTTTTGCTAAGTGTTTGGTGTGGTCTGCATAATTGTTGGTGGGTTTGCTAAAGTGCATTGTGTGGTTTTGGACTAAGTTGTTTGGATGGGTCATGCTAAGTGTTAGGTGGGGTCTGCTCAAGTGTTGGTGGGTTGCTAAGTGTTGGTGTTCGCTAAGTGTTGGGGGTTCTGCCGAAGTGTTGGTGGGTTTTGCTAAGTGGTGTGGTTGCTAAGATTATTGTAGTAGTGCTTGTACAAAGTTTAATGGAAGATGCTTGCCTCCAACTCTGTGTAGTATGTCCTCCCGAGTGGCGTGCAGTGGTCTGTGCTAAGGCATCGTGCGGAGCTAATGCTGTGCCGGGGTTGCTAAGTGGGTTTGCAAGTGTTGGTGGGTTTGCTAAGTGATGGTAGGTTTGCTAAGTGATGGTGGGTTTGCTAAGCGATGGTGGGTTTGCTAAGTGATGGTGGGTTTGCTAAGCGATGGTGGGTTTGCTAAATGATGGTGGGTTTGCTAAGTGATGGTGGGTTTGCTAAGTGTTGGTGGGTTTGCTAAGTGATGGTGGGTTTGCTAAATGATGGTGGGTTTGCTAAGCGATGGTGGGTTTGCTAAGTGATACATAATAACAGACTATTTCTCCAAGATGTCAGAAGGGGGATGTGACTGCAATAGCAAAATGTTCAAAGATCATTTATAGTAAGCTTATTTATTTGGCATAATTTAATATTAAAATGATATCTTATGGATTCTTGTGCAGAATTACATTTCCAGTCTTCACAGCATGATGAATGCTCATGCTGTCTGGAAGTTAATGACTTAGAAGCCCACTCCTGAAAATCTCCTTTTAGATTCATGGACCTGTCCTCTTCTCAGCCTTGTCAGCACTCAAAGACAAGAGCCACTTTTCTATTCATTAGATGAAATATACTATTATATTTATTAGATGAGATATTCGGTGCACATCTATTCAAGGTGTCTTACTTTTTTATTTCAAACACATAGTAGTTTGTCCTTGCCATTGTAGATTAAGGTTTGCTTTGAACAGGGTTTGGTTTAATAGGTTTTGTTGCCTTTGGCTAAGAGAGCTGTGACAATAGCGTCGTAAAAACCATCACACTTGAAAAGTTAACCAAATTTAATTGAAGTTTGTAATATCACAGGGCCTTTCGACCCCACATCTGTTGCCATGGTGCTTGGTTTCCATGGAGCAGTCCAACCCCTTCCTGTCTGCTCCTTAAGCCCTTCCCCTTAGAACTGGAATTCCATATGAGCCTTTTATTGTTTGACCACAAGAAAACACAATATAAGGGCCATAAATAGCCTTTTACTGGTCTGTATTGAATATTTATCCCAAGTCACCCTCTGTAGAGTATGGCAAATGAAGAGGAGCTCAAAATAATACAAAACTCCTTTACAACACGATCTCATGAGGCCAAAAGTTGTGGGAATACATTTCACAAAATACATATATCCTTTTTGAGATTACAATTTGCCCAAAAATAAGCTTCTTATGCTTTGAAATTTGCATTGCAGTCACTCCCTTTACTCTGGGAAATACTTTATAGGTATCACTTAGCAAACAACCATCGCTTAGCCACATCATTATCAAACCATACTTAGCAAAACCAAACACTTAGCAACCCACGTTGAATTGACGTCTGTGCCCAGTGGGTGGGGATTGTTGTTCCCAAGGTACAAACCACAACCGCCATAGTGGGAGTTGACATAAGGGAAGAGTTACGAGTCTGTCTGACGTCAGCTATGTAAATTCAGTCACCAGTGACTGCTTTATGGCATCACACATCCAGGGAGACATTTACATTTTAGTCATTTAGCAGATGCTCTTATCCAGAGCAACTTACAGTTAGTGAGTGCATACATTATTTTTCATACTGGCCCCCCCCCCCGTGGGAATTGAACCCACAACCCTGGCGTTGCAAACGCCATGCTCTACCAACTGAGCTACATCCCTGCCGGCCATTCCCTCCCCTACGCTGGGCCAATTGTGCGCCGCCCCATGGGTCTCCCGGCTACAACAGAGCCTGGATTCAAACCAGGATCTCTAGTGGCACAGCTAGCACTGAGTGCCTTAGACCACTGCGCCACTCGGGAGGGAACATACTTTACATGTAGAGTTGAAACCTGTACATAGCACCTACTACATACCACATGTCATAAAACAAAAAAAACAAAAATGAACATTTTGTGTGATTCAACAAGAACGCTTCGGATTATGTACACCAGACTCAGAACAGTAGAGTACCAGAGGAGGGGTTTGGCCTCTCTCCCTGGTCCATTCCTTATTAACCTAACAGATCGCTAGGAAAGGCTGAAAAAGGAGCCCCCATTATAGAGGATGATGCCATAAATAGCAACTTATCTAATATAGGCGTTACGAGAATTTATATTTCTAATTCAACCTAAGCTTGAATCATTACCAGAGGTTGTAAGGCTCTGGTTTTAATCATAAATGATTCAAGGTCCACAACCCACAAGGATTATCTGTATCTTTATTCATGGAGAGCTCTGGCGCCCAAAACACATACCATACTGTTTTATACCTCGACACCCCAAGGCACCCTGCTCCGCCCACCTCTAGGAGGCCCCCTGTAACCCGTTTCCTCAGTCCCCTTCACCCTGGAATGTTTAGTCCCGCCCCCCTCTGTTAGTAGGTTGACAATACATTATAACTCTAACACAGTTCACACATTTATACTGTATTTGGGGTGAAATCCTTTAGTCATTATTCCTAAAATACAAATTAATCTAACAATAGGCGTTCGTTAAATTGAGCCTTTGTTCAATTTCCCCCATTGTACCTTAACTCAAAGGTTTACCGAATCTCCTCTTCTGTATCTGCCTATAATATGTTTCAGGAAAACGTAGGTACATTTATCAAAGTGCCAGTCGCGCTACGGCATTCAGCATTCAGGTGTGATGAATGGGTTTTTTTAAGGCTATCTGCTCAGACTGCCTGGGACACTGATAAGACACATTGTGATTTTCCTCCCTGCAAATAGCGTTATCCCCCAATAAATCACACTCAGAAACCCAGAATGCTGAGAGCATTGTATCTGTGTATGGGACGTGTCTATCATTAATCAAATTCATCAGATATAGAGTGCCACTTTTTTGGTACATCAATATGAATTATAATGTGGTTGTTTGTAATTTTGTCTTTCAATCATTAGATGTTTTACTTGTTTTAACCATAGATCGAGGACCAGTTTGGAAACAAGTGTTTTAATGAATACTTTTCAGTAATATCCTCTGGGAATACATTGTACATCCTACTGTATATGTTTTTTTTATCCAAATAAATTCAATTCAAAATTCCACACCCTAAAACGAGACTCAGTAGGCCTGAGAACCAGTATTGAGTTTAGTTGTCATAAAAACACAATTAGAGCCATCAACCATAAACATGTCTTTTTATTGGGCTGGAGGAAATGTGTTTTTGTTGATTTGCTGCCATTTTTATTTAAATCCCCTTTAAAACAGTAAAACAGTAATTTAATCATTGTGGTGGTAAAACTGAAGCCCAGTTGTGGCCAGCTGGCAGACCATCTCAGAGAACCGCTTTCTGCCTCCTTCTCTTTTCAGCTTGTAGCTTTGTATTGATTTAATTTGATTTATTTATTTAACCTTTATTTAACCAGGAAGGGCTCATTGAGATTTGAAATCTCTTTTTTCAAGAGAGTCCCGGACAAGAGAGGCAGCACCAAGTCATTACAGACAGACAACATGGAAAAACTACAAGCGAATCTAGTAAACATCCATAGATAAAATGGTAGTAAACCCAAAATGGCTTTTGTAAATAAAAGTATACCAGTGACCAGTGTAGCTCTCTACCAACCTAATAAGCCTACAGCTACACTGTGGATCTACAGTTTCTACAGTATTCACTGTTGACAACATGGCATATGGATGTCTATGTTGGTGTGTTACCATGGAAATATGATGCAATCAGAGCAGGATGTTGCCTCTTCAGGATGAAGGGCGTCATCCTCAGACTTTTGCCACACTAAAACAATCCATATTGGATAAAAAAATAATATCTGTTTGATTGGTCATGCATATTATACAATGTTCAGAAAATTTACATTTTAGTCATTTAGCAGACACTCTTATCCAGAGCAACTTACATTTTTCATACCTGCCCCCCGTGGGAATCGAACCCACAACCCTGGTGTTGCAAGCGCCATGCTCTACCAACTGAGCTATAGGAGGGCCTAAAATCTAGCCTTTCAATTGTGGATTAATCACCAGAGTGAGGATACCAATAATATATAATATACTGAACAAAAATATAAACGCAACATGCAACAATTTCAACGATTTTACTGAGTTACAGTTCATATAAGGAAATCAGTCAATTAAAATAAATAGATTAGGCCCAAATCTATGGATTTCACATGACTGGGAATACAGACATGCATCTGTTGGTCGTGGATACCTTTAAAAAAAAGTTGGGGCGTGGATCAGAAAACCAGTCAGTATCTGGTGTTGTGGCATTGTGTTGTGTGACAAAACTGCACATTTTAGAGTGGCCTTTTATTGTCCCCAGCACAAGGTTCACCTGTGTAATGATCATGCTGTTTAATCAGCTTCTTGATATGCCACACCTGTCAGGTAGATGGATTATCTTGGCAAGGGAGAAATGCTCACTAACAGGGATGTAAACATCTTAGTGCACAACATTTTAGAGAAATAAGCTTTTTGTGCATATGGAAAATGTCTGGGATCTTTTATTTTAGCTCATGAAACATGGGACCAAGACTTTACATGTTGCGTTTATATTTTAGTTCAGTGTATAATAATATAAGCCATTTAGCAGATGCTTCTATACAAAGTGGTGGTCCTCTGTAGCTCAATTGGTAGAGCACGGCGCTTGTAATGCCAGGGTAGTGGGTTCGATCCCCGGGACCACCCATACGTAAAAATGTATGCACACATGACTGTAAGTCGCTTTGGATAAAAGAGTCTGCTAAATGGCATATTATTATTATAAAGTGGCTTACAGTAACACGTGCATACATTTTTTATGTATGGGTGGTCCCAGGAATGGGGTAAGGGGGGGGTAGAAGGATTACTTTATCCTATCCCAGGTATTCCTTAAAGAGGTGGGGTTTCAAATGTCTCCGGAAGGTGGTGAGTGACTCCGCTGGGGTGCCAGAGCAGCGAACAGTTTTGACTGGGCTGAGCGGGAACTGTGCTTCCGCAGAGGTAGGGGAGCCAGCAGGCCAGAGGTGGATGAACGCAATGCCCTCGTTTGGGTGTAGGGACTGATCAGAGCCTGAAGGTACGGAGGTGCCGTTCCCCTCACTGCTCCATAGGCAAGCACCATGGTCTTGTAGCAGATGCGAGCTTCAACTGGAAGCCAGTGGAGTGTGCGGAGGAGCGGGGTGACGTGAGAGAACTTGGGAAGGTTGAACACCAGACGGGCCGCGGCATTCTGGATGAGTTGTAGGGGTTTAATGGCACAGGCAGGGAGCCCAGCCTTGCTACAACTTTTAGATCGTGAAAACATCTATCACACGTCAGATTTCAATACTGGCAAATGTCATAACTCGGGAGGATGTATTCTCTTGAATGAGCCATTGATAATATTTTAGCGATATTCCTACCTCAAGAAATGTGTAATTTAACAGAGGGTCTACCACATTTTCCCTATATGTCTGCCTCTTTAGTCCAGGGTGCATTGCATGATGCCGTTGCCAGAGATATTATAGAAAGGAGATAGGAATCCAATGAATGAAGGAACGTATAACGTCCCGCCCAGCAGGCTGTCGACCAATCGCGTTCACGTTGTCATGCTGCGTCACGCGGTTGCTAAGCTAATCTTCACGCAATCAAATCAAATCTACACACAATAACCCATAATGACAAAGCATAAACAGGTTTTCAGAAATGTATGCAAATAAAAAACGGAAATATCACAATTACGTAAGTATTTAAATCCTTTACTCAGTACTTTGTTAAAGCACCTTTGGCAGCGATTACAGCCTCGAGTCCTCTTTGGCACACGTGTATTTGGGGAGTTTCTCCCATTCTTCTATGCAGATCCTCTCAAGCTCTGTCAGGTTGGATGGGGAGCATCGCTGCACAGCTATTTTCAGGTCTCTCCAGAAATGTTCAATCGGGTTCAAGTCCGGGCTCTGGCTGGGCGACTAAAGGACATTCAGAGACTTGTCCCGAAGCCACTCCTGCGTTGTCTTGGCTGTGTGCTTAGGGTCATTGTCCTGTTGGAAGGTGAACCTTCGCCCCAGTCTGAGGTCCTGAGTGCTCTGGAGCAGGTTTTCATCAAGGATCTCTCTGTAATTTGCTTAATCTTTCCCTCGATCCTGACTAGTCTCCCAGTCCCTGCCGCTGAAAAACATCCCCACAGCATGATGCTGCCACCACCATGCTTCACCGTAGGGATGGTGCCAGTTTCCTCCAGACGTGACGCTTGGCATTCAGGCCAAATAGTCCAATCTTGGTTTCATCAGACCAGAGATTCTTGTTTCTCATGGTCTGAGAGTCTTTAGGTGCCTTTTGGAAAACTCCAAGTGGGCTGTCATGTGCCTTTTACTGAGGAGTGGCTTCCATCTGGCCACTCTACCATAAAGGCCTGATTGGTGGAGTGCTGCAGAGATGGTTGTCCTTCTGGAAGGTTCTCCCATCTCCACAGAGGAACTCTGGAGCTCTGTCAGAGTGACCATCGGGTTCTTGGTCACCTCCCTGACCAAGGCCCTTCTCCCCCGATTGCTCAGTTTAGCCGGGCGGCCAGCTCTAGGAAGAGTCTTGGTGGTTCCAAACTTCATCCATTTAAGAATGATGGAGGCCACTGTGTTCTTGGGGACCTTCAATGCTGCAGAAATGTTTTGGTACCATTCCTCAGATCTGTGCCTCGACACAATCCTGTCTCAGAGCTCTACGGACAATTCCTTCGACCTCATGGCTTTGTCTTTGCTCTGAGATTAACTTTCAACTGTGGGACCTTATATAGACAGGTGTGTGCCTTTCCAAATCATGTCCAATCAATTGAAATTACCACAGGTGGACTTCAATCAAGTTGTAGAAACATCTCAAGGATGATCAATGGAAACAGGATGCACCTGAGCTCAATTTCTAAAAACCTGTTTTCGCTTTGTAATTATGGGGTATTGTGTGTAGATTGATGAGCAAAAAAATTATTTAATCCATTTCAGAATAAGGCTGTAAGGTAACAAAATGTGGAAAAAGTCAAGGGGTCATTATACTTTCTGAATGCACTGTATGTGGGGAAGATGGAGCAGCATTGATTTTGGAGCATGGCCTTCCAGTCACTACATCTATCTGTTATCTTCAGCTCTACAGCGATGTAACCTGTCTGTTATCTTCAGCTCTACAGTGCTGTAAACCTGTCTGTTATCTTCAGCTCTACAGTGCTGTAACCTGTCTGTCTGTTATCTTCAGCTCTACAGTGCTGTAACCTGTCTGTCTGTTATCTTCAGCTCTACAGCGCTGTAACCTGTCTGTCTGTTATCTTCAGCTCTACAGTGCTGTAACCTATCTGTCGTTATCTCAGCTCTACAGTGCTGTAACCTGTCTGTCTGTTATCTTCAGCTCTACAGTGCTGTAACCTGTCTGTCTGTTATCTTCAGCTCTACAGTGCTGTAACCTATCTGTTGTTATCTTCAGCTCTACAGTGCTGTAAACCTGTCTGTCTGTTATCTTCAGCTCTACAGTGCTGTAACCTAGCTGTTATCTTCAGCTCTACAGTGCTGTAACCTGTCGCTGTTATCTCAGCTCTACAGGCTGTAACCTTCTGTTATCTTCAGCTCTACAGTGCTGAACCTGTCTGTTGTTATCTCAGCCTACAGTGGACTCTGTTGTATGGTCTCAGTCTGTAACTGTCTGTCTGATCTTCGCTCACAGCTCGACTGTCTGTCTGTATCTGCTCTACAGTCTGTAACTGTCTGTCTGTATCTTCAGCTTACAGTGCTGTACCTGTCTGTACTCAGTCTACAGTGCTGACCGTCTGTTATCTTCCAGCTTACAGTGCTGTAACCTGTCTGTTGTATCTTCAGCTACAGTGCGTAACTGTGTTGTTACAGTTTCAGCTCCTACAGCGTGACGCTTGTTCTTCAGCTCACAGGCGTAACTGTCTTCGTATCTCAGTTACAGATCTACTGTTGTTCTCAGCTCTACAGGCTGTAACGTCTGTTGTTCATTTTCAGCTCAAGTGCGAACCGTGCTGTTGTATCTCAGTTACGTGCTGTAACCTTCTATCTCGCTCTACAGCGGCTGAACTGTTGTATGTATCTTCAGCTTAAGTGCTGTTAACCTGTCTGTTATCTTCAGCTCTCACAGGCTGAACCTGTGTTACTTCAGTTACAGGCTGTAACCTGCTGTCTGTTCATTTCAGCTCTACAGCTGTAACCGTGTCCTTTATCTTCAGCTCTGTACCGTTGTCTGTTATTCAGCTCTACGTGCTATAACTGTCTGTGTGTTTCCAGCTCAAGTGCATGTAAACTGTCTGTTGTATCTTAGCTTACAGTGCTGTAACCTGTTGTTGGTACTTCGCTCACAGTTGCTGACACATGTCGTACTGTCTCAGCTCTACAGTGCTGTAACCTATCTGTCTGTTACTTCAGCTCTAAGTGCTGTACTAGCTGTTATCTTCAGCTTACAGTGGCTTATAACGTGTGTCTTTCATTCAGCTCATCAGTGCGAACGTTGTCCGTGACTTCAAGCTCTAGTGCTGTAAACTGTCGTTGATCTCAGCTCTACAGGTGTAACCTAGCGTTATCTCAGCTTAGTGCTAAACCTGCTGTCTTTTCCTTGTCTTACAGTGGGTAACTGTCTGTCGTTATGTCAGCTTACATGTGAACTGTTGTCTTATCTTCAGCTCTACAGTGCTGTAATGCTGTGTTATCTTCAGCTCACAGGCTTGTAACCTGTCTGTCTGTTATCTAAGCCTGACAGTGCTTGGTAACCTGTCTGTTATCTCAGCTTACAGTGCTGTAACTCTGTTATCTTCAGCTCTACAGTGCTGTAACCTGTCTGTCTGTTATCTTCAGCTCTACAGCGCTGTAACCTGTCTGTTATCTTCAGCTCTACAGTGCTGTAACCTGTCTGTCTGTTATCTTCAGCTCTACAGTGCTGTAACCTGTCTGTTATCTTCAGCTCTACAGCGCTGTAACCTGTCTGTTATCTTCAGCTCTACAGCTCTGTAACCTGTCTGTCTGTTATCTTCAGCTCTACAGTGCTATAACCTGTCTGTCTGTTATCTTCAGCTCTACAGTGCTGTAACCTGTCTATCTGTTATCTTCAGCTCTACAGTGCTGTAACCTGTCTGTCTGTTATCTTCAGCTCTACAGCGCTGTAACCTGTCTGTCTGTTATCTTCAGCTCTACAGTGCTGTAACCTATCTGTTATCTTCAGCTCTACAGTGCTGTAACCTATCTGTCTGTTATCTTCAGCTCTACAGTGCTGTAACCTGTCTGTCTGTTATCTTCAGCTCTACAGCGCTGTAACCTGTCTGTCTGTTATCTTCAGCTCTACAGTGCTGTAACCTATCTGTCTGTTATCTTCAGCTCTACAGTGCTGTAACCTGTCTGTCTGTTATCTTCAGCTCTACAGTGCTGTAACCTGTCTGTCTGTTATCTTCAGCTCTACAGTGCTGTAACCTGTCTGTCTGTTATCTTCAGCTCTACAGTGCTGTAACCTGTCTGTCTGTTATCTTCAGCTCTACAGTGCTGTAACCTGTCTGTCTGTTATCTTCAGCTCTACAGTGCTGTAACCTGTCTGTCTGTTATCTTCAGCTCTACAGCGCTGTAACCTGTCTTGTTATCTTCAGCTCTACAGTGCTGTAACCTGTCTGTTATCTTCAGCTCTACAGCGCTGTAACCTGTCTGTCTGTTATTTTCAGCTCTACAGTGCTGTAACCTGTCTGTCTGTTATCTTCAGCTCTACAGTGCTGTAACCTGTCTGTCTGTTATCTTCAGCTCTACAGTGCTGTAACCTGTCTGTTATCTTCAGCTCTACAGTGCTGTAACCTGTCTGTTATCTTCAGCTCTACAGCGCTGTAACCTGTCTGTCTGTATTTTCAGCTCTACAGTGCTGTACCTGTCTGTCTGTACTTCAGCTCGTAACCGTCTGTCTGTTATCTTCAGCTCTACAGTGCTTAACCTGTCTGTCTGTTATCTTCAGCTCTACAGTGCTGTAACCTGTCTGTCTGTTATCTTCAGCTCTACAGTGCTGTAACCTGTCTGTCTGTTATCTTCAGCTCTACAGGCTGTAACCTATCTGTCTGTTATTCAGCTTACAGTCGCTACTAGCGTTTCTTCGCTTACAGCTTAACTGTCTGTTTATCTTCAGCTCTACAGTGCTGTAACCTGTCTGTCTGTTATCTTCAGCTCTACAGTGCTGTAACCTGTCTGTCTGTTATCTTCAGCTCTACAGTGCTGTAACCTGTCTGTCTGTTATCTTCAGCTCTACAGTGCTGTAACCTGTCTGTCTGTTATCTTCAGCTCTGTAACTGTCTGTTTATCTTCAGCTCTACAGTGCTGTAACCTGTCTGTCTGTTATCTTCAGCTCTACAGTGCTGTAACCTGTCTGTCTGTTATCTTCAGCTCTACAGTGCTGTAACCTATCTGTCTGTTATCTTCAGCTCTACAGTGCTGTAACCTGTCTGTTATTATTAGTCATACAAAATATTTTGCTGTGACTCTTATGTGGATGATGTTACAAATATTTGTTGGTCTGATGTGATTAATAAGGAGCATCCGGAAGTTGCACATCTGACTGGCTGACTTACTGCAAATTAAGAAATGATGTGACTAAACTCAACAAAAAGAAGAAGAAACTGTATTATGAAGCCAAGATCAATTATATAAAGAATGATGGAAAAAAACTTTGGAGTACTTTACATGAAATTATGGGTAGAAAGACAAATTCAACTCCATCTTTCATCGAATCAGATGGCTTATTCATCACAAAACCATTTGATGTTGCCAATTCTTTTAATGATTACTTCATTGGCAAAGTGGGAAAACTTAGGCAGGAAATGCCAACAACAAACAGTGAGCCATCGTATTCATGCATAAAATAACTAATAATGAAAGAAAAGCATTGCAAGTTTGAATTTTGTAAAGTTAGTGCGGGAGAGGTGGAAAAATATTGTTAACGATCAATAATGACAAACCTTCTGGCAATGACAACTTACATTTACATTTACGTCATTTAGCAGACGCTCTTATCCAGAGCAGCTTGGATGGAAAGCTACTGAGGATGGTAGCTGACTCTATAGCCACTCCTATCTGTCATGTCTTTAATCTGAGCCTAGAGGAAAGTCTTTGTCCTCAGGCCTGGTGGGAAGCCAAAGTCATTCTGCTACCCAAGAGTGGTAAAGCGGCCTTTACTGGTTCTAACAGCAGACCTATCAGCTTGCTTTCAGCTCTTAGCAAACTGTTGGAAAGAATTGTGTTTGACCAAATACAATGCTATTTCTATGTAAACAAATTAACAACAGACTTTCAGCATGCTTATAGAGAAGGGCACTCAACATGTACTGCACTGACACAAATGACTGAAGATTGGTTGAAAGAAATTGATAACAAGAAGATTGTGGGTAGCTGTACTGTTAGATTTCAGTGCAGCCTTTGACATTATTGACCATAACCTTGATGGATTCTGTTAAAATGTAACATGTTTCAAGTTAAACTGTAGTTTGTTGGTATCCTGTTTAGTGAATGATTACTGTGAGTATGAATGGTAGTTTAGGCCATGAAACTGTGTGTATGCTAATTTGAAAAGGTTGACCTAATCAGATAAGAGGAAATTGTCTCGGATCAGGGAGCAAGGTCAGTCCCTGGACAATGAAGATGGACTGGGTGTGATTATGACATCTAGCTAACCAAAAGAGGACCATGGACATTCCCCAGGGGCGATAAGGGAAACTCATTGGGGTTATAAGATGTATACCTGGGGAGGAGACACCTACAAGAGGGTGGTGACCAAAAGGAGGGAGGAGTATAAGATGTGTGGTGAACTTTCTAAATGTATGCACTCAGCTGACGGCATCCTTGGTATTAAACACATGAAACTTCTGCAAAAAAGGTTGCAATAGCATTTTTCTTTCTAACAACCTGTTGTTGAAAAAAACTGATGTGTTATGGCTTTTCAACTTCTGCCATATCGTGGATTCAGAGCTATCTATCTAATAGAACTCAAAGGGTTTTCTTTAATGGAAGCTTCTCTAATGTCAAACATGTAAAGTGTGGTGTACCGCAGGGCAGCTCTCTAGGCCCTCTACTTTTCTATTTTTACCAATGACCTGCCACTGGCATTAAACAAAGCATGTGTCCATGTATGCTGATGATTCAACCATATACGCATCAGCAACCACAGCTAATGAAGTCACTGAAACCCTTAACAAAGAGTTGCAGTCTGTTTTGGAATGGGTGGCCACTAATAAACTGGTCCTGAACATCTCTAAAACTAAGAGCATTGTATTTGGTACAAATCATTCCCTAAGTTCTAAACCTCAGCTGAATCTGGTAATGAATGTGGTTGGTTGGTGTGGCTGTTGAACAAGTTGAGGAGACTAAATTACTTGGTGTTACCTTAGATTGTAAACTGTCATGGTCAAAACATATAGATTCAATGGTTGTAAAGATGGGGAGAGGTCTGTCCGTAATAAAGAGATGCTCTGCTTTTTTGACACCACATTCCAAAAAGCAAGTCCTGCAGGCTCTAGTTTTGTCTTATCTTGATTATTGTCCAATCGTGTGGTGTGGAGTGCTGCAAGAAAATATGTAGTTAAGCTGCAGCTGGCCCAGAACAGAGCGGCACGTATTGCTCTTAATTGCTTTTTAAACATTTTTATTTAACCTTTATTTAACCAGGTAAGACCCATTGAGGTTAAAAACCAATTTTGCGAGGGTGACCTGGGCAAACAGGGAAATAACAGCGTGTACATGAAATATTACTGAAAAATACAAAATACACACAAAAGACAGTGTCACAAGTTCCAGATATATTTGAAGATTAGAAACAACTGCAGCTATCACAAACAGTGTTGTCAGAGTCTTAAAAACAGGCAAGGACACTAACTACCCTAACTTTAATATATTTTGAAGCATGTTCCAGGATGAAGGGGCATTATGGGAAATAGATTGTTTCCCCATCTCAGTTCTAGCCTTAGGAACAGACAAGGACAGCAACGACCGTGAACGAAGACTGTATTGAGTGACTGATCTGGTCAGTAAGGAACAGAGATGCAAAGGGTTTTGTCCTATCAATGGTTTGTACACAAAAGTGCAGTGGCGCAGCGTTCTAAGGAACTGCATCTCAGTGCTAGAGGCATCACTACAGCCCCTGGTTCGATATCAGGCTGTATCACAATCAGGCTGTGATTGGGAGTCCCATAGGGCGGTGCGCAATTGGCCCAGCGTCGTCCAGATTTGGCCGGGGGTAGGCCGTCATTGTAAATAAGAGTTTGTTATTAAAAGTCTTGCCTAGTTACATTTTTTAAAAGTATACCAGTGCTTTAGCCTCCTGGTGGAGAGAGAGGTCCATTGCACCATAGCATACACATCAACAGTGATGGGTGAGCGATCTAGCATTTGTTATAAATCTTAAAGCACCATGATACACTGTGTCCAGAGTTAAGGTACTTGCTAAGGCCTGCATATAGACAACATCACCATAATCCAGCACTGATAAAAAAGTGCTTTGAACAAGATGACTAACATTGAAAAGCAAGATTTGTTCCTAAAATAGAAACTCAACTTCAGCTTCTTGGTCAAGTTATAAATGTGCTGTTTAAAATTCAGCTTTTCATCTAACCAAATACCAAGATACTTATAGGAGGTGACCCTATCAATTTGCTGCCATTTTATAGTTGAAATCTGCAAGTGACTCCATCTGTTTACTTTCAGGGAAGAGAAAACCATACATTTTGTTTTCCTTGCATTAAGCACAAGTTTCAATTCGAAAAGCTGCCTTTGAATAACATCAAAAGCCAACTGTAAGCCCCGAAAGCCTTCTCAATATTAGATGCGCTTGAATAAATAATTGTGTCATCAGCATACAGATGGAGATTTGCAGAGTCAACAGTCCTCCCTATATCATTTATATACAGTGTAAAAAGGATCAGACCTAAAATTGAGCCCTGGGGAACTCATTTTGTAAGCCTTTGAAACTCAGATGTCATACCTTCCTGTGCTACACACTGTGATCTGTCAGAAAGGCAGTTTTGGAACCAATCCAATGCATCAACACTTAAACCAACCTTTTTTTTTGTATATACAACAGCAGGGCATGGTCAACAGTGTCGAAGGCCTTCGATAAATCAATAAAAAGTGAAACACTGTGATTTTTTTTTGTCCTGAGCATCTAGAATATCACCTACAGCCTTCCTTACTGCAGTACTTGTACTATGCTTGGCTCTAAAAACCTGACTGGAATTGAGATAAAACTGAGTTATTATAAAGAAAGTATTTCAACTGTGAGTTCACCATGTTTTCCAAAACTTTCGCCAGTGCAGACAGTTTAGATATGGGACGATAGTTCTCCAACTGGGACGGACCTCCACCCTTATGTAAAGGCATGACGTAGGCTGCTTTCCAGACTTTTGGGACGGTATTACTCACCAATTAAATATTTAATATATGAGTGAGAGGGGCAGCAATAATCTCTGCACCAATTTCTTGAAAATAAGGGTTTAATTAATCCGGGCCAGCCGCTTTCTTAATATCAATAGATTTGAGTGCCTTTACAACTTCTGAAACTCAATCTCGGCAAAATGAAATAGATTAACCATAATCAGAGGGCTGATATAAATACTATGCATGCCGGTCTCTCTTGGCTAAGAGTTGAGGAGAGACTGACTGCATCACTTCTTCTTTTTATAAGAAAACATGAATTTGTTGAAAATCCCAAATTGTTTGCATAGTGAACTTACACACAGCTCTGACACACACACACTTAACCCACCAGACATGCCACCAGGGGTCTTTTCACAGTCACCAAATCCAGGACAAAATTCTAGAAAGCGTACAGTATTATATAGAGCCATTATCGCATGGAACTCCGTTCCATCTCATATTGCTCAAATGAACAGCAAACCTGGTCCCAACAGGTAAAGCAACACCTCACGGCACAACGCCGCTCCCCTATTTGACCTGGATAGTTTGTGTGTATGTATTGATATTGATATGTAGGCTACGTGTGCCTTTTTTAAATAGATGTTTTATTGATGTAGTTCTGTCCTTGAGCTGTTCTTGTTTATTAATGTTCTGTATTATTTCATGTTTTGTGTGAACCCCATGAAGATTAGCTGCTGCTTTTGCAACAGCTAATGGGGATTCTAATAAATACCCAAAGTTTCCTGATGAGGACTTTAGATGAAGGCTCCTTTCCTTCTCTCCTGGGTCACTAAGCACTCTGAAAATCTGCAGCTTAAAATTTTAGCTGGAATTGATGGTGGTGTAATATATAATTAGCTGACTATAAGGCCTATCTCTGGTACCAACTGCCAAACCCAGAACTCTGCCAAATGATTATCTTCCTCATAGCTACCTCATTTCAAAATTTAGTGAAGACCCATGCGTGTGCTGTGAATGAGAATCAGGCTCCTTATATCACTTCCACACATTTACAGCTTTGCAGAGAAAGAAAAAGCATGAGAACACCCCGTCCATGCTGGAAGAATGGCCGTAACTGTGACATCCGTCCCAGAACAAAACCTTTTCAATACTGCCAGAGCTCTGGGTGTCACAACGCCTTTCCTCTCATTCCCTCACGCACTCAACAGCTGCCTTGTCTTGATTGTTCACTTAATCATTTTGCATATTCGGATGCGATTCAAATATTCTATGAATAACAAACAGCAACATCCATTATGTCCCAATGCAGTGACTGCTGAGCTGATTTCAGAGTGCACAAACAGATGGTCACAATACTTGGAGTGGTTGGTATATACAGTGGTAGAAAAAGTACCCAATTGTCATACTTGAGTAAAAGTAAAGATACCATAATAGAAAATGACTCAAGTAAAAGTCACCCAGTAAAATGCTACTTCAGTAAAAGTCTAAAAAGTTATTGTTTTTAAATATACTCAAGTATCAAAAGTAAATGTAATAGCTAAAATATACTTAAGTATCAAAATGAAAAAATCCTTTCAAATTTCTTACATTAAGCAAACCAGACCTGACCATTTTCATTTACGGGTAGCCAGGGGCAACACTCAGACACTCAGACATTTACGGGTAGCCAGGGGCAACACTCAGACACTCAGTGCATTTACGGGTAGCCAGGGGCAACACTCAGACACTCAGACATTTACGGGTAGCCAGGGGCAACACTCAGACACTCAGTGCATTTACGGGTAGCCAGGGGCAACACTCAGACACTCAGACATTCACGGGTAGCCAGGGGCAACACTCAGACACTCAGTGCATTTACGGGTAGCCAGGGGCAACACTCAGACACTCAGACATTTACGGGTAGCCAGGGGCAACACTCAGACACTCAGTGCATTTACGGGTAGCCAGGGGCAACACTCAGACACTCAGTGCATTTACGGGTAGCCAGGGGCAACACTCAGACACTCAGTGCATTTACGGGTAGCCAGGGGCAACACTCAGACACTCAGACATTTACGGGTAGCCAGGGGCAACACTCAGACACTCAGACATTTACGGGTAGCCAGGGGCAACACTCAGACACTCAGACATTTACGGGTAGCCAGGGGCAACACTCAGACACTCAGTGCATTTACGGGTAGCCAGGGGCAACACTCAGACACTCAGTGCATTTACGGGTAGCCAGGGGCAACACTCAGACACTCAGTGCATTTACGGGTAGCCAGGGGCAACACTCAGACACTCAGTGCATTTACGGGTAGCCAGGGGCAACACTCAGACACTCAGTGCATTTACGGGTAGCCAGGGGCAACACTCAGACACTCAGACATTTACGGGTAGCCAGGGGCAACACTCAGACACTCAGACATTTACGGGTAGCCAGGGGCAACACTCAGACACTCAGACATTTACGGGTAGCCAGGGGCAACACTCAGACACTCAGACATTTACGGGTAGCCAGGGGCAACACTCAGACACTCAGACATTTACGGGTAGCCAGGGGCAACACTCAGACACTCAGACATTTACGGGTAGCCAGGGGCAACACTCAGACACTCAGACATTTACGGGTAGCCAGGGGCAACACTCAGACACTCAGACATTTACGGGTAGCCAGGGGCAACACTCAGACACTCAGACATTTACGGGTAGCCAGGGGCAACACTCAGACACTCAGACATTTACGGGTAGCCAGGGGCAACACTCAGACACTCAGACATTTACGGGTAGCCAGGGGCAACACTCAGACACTCAGACATTTACGGGTAGCCAGGGGCAACACTCAGACACTCAGACATTTACGGGTAGCCAGGGGCAACACTCAGACACTCAGTGCATTTACGGGTAGCCAGGGGCAACACCTCAGACACTCAGACATTTACGGGTAGCCAGGGCAACACTCAGACACTCAGGACATTTACGGGTAGCCAGGGGCAACACTCAGACACTCAGACATTTACGGGTAGCCAGGGGCAACACTCAGACACTCAGTGCATTTATGGGTAGCCAGGGGCAACACTCAGACACTCAGACATTTACAGGTAGCCAGGGGCAACACTCAGACACTCAGACATTTACGGGTACCAGGGGCAACACTCAGACATCAGACATTTACGGGTAGCCAGGGGCAACACTCAGACACTCAGACATTTCGGGTGCCAGGGGCAACACTCAGACACTCAGTGATTTATGGGTAGCCAGGGGCAACACTCAGACACTCAGACATTTACGGGTAGCCAGGGGAACACTCAACACTCAGTGCATTTACGGGTAGCCAGGGGCAAACACTCAGACACTCAGACATTTACGGGAGCCAGGGGCAACACTCAGACACTCAGACATTTACGGGTAGCCAGGGCAACACTCAGACACTCAGTGCATTTATGGGTAGCCAGGGGCAACACTCAGACACTCAGTGCATTTACGGGTAGCCAGGGGCAACACTCAGACACTCAGACATTTACGGGTAGCCAGGGGCAACACTCAGACACTCAGACATTTACGGGTAGCCAGGGGCAACACTCAGACACTCAGACATTTACGGGTAGCCAGGGGCAACACTCAGACACTCAGTGCATTTACGGGTAGCCAGGGGCAACACTCAGACACTCAGACATTTACGGGTAGCCAGGGGCAACACTCAGACACTCAGACATTTACGGGTAGTCAGGGGCAACACTCAGACACTCAGACATTTACGGGTAGCCAGGGGCAACACTCAGACACTCAGTGCATTTACGGGTAGCCAGGGGCAACACTCAGACACTCAGTGCATTTACGGGTAGCCAGGGGCAACACTCAGACACTCAGACATTCACAGGTAGCCAGGGGCAACACTCAGACACTCAGACATTTACGGGTAGCCAGGGGCAACACTCAGACACTCAGACATTTACGGGTAGCCAGGGGCAACACTCAGACACTCAGTGCATTTACGGGTAGCCAGGGGCAACACTCAGACACTCAGTGCATTTGTGTTCAGTGAGTCTGCCAGATCAGAGGCAGTAGCGATGACCAGGGATGTTCTCTTGATAAGTGCGTGAATTGGTCAATTTTTCAGTCCTGCTAAGCAATCAAAATGTAACGAGTACTTTTTGGTGTCAGGGAAAATGGATGGAGTAAAAAGTACATTATTTCTTTAGGAATGTAGTGAAGTACAAGTTGTCAAAAATATAAATAGTAAAGTACAGATACCCATAACTACTTTAGTACTTTACACCACTGGGTATATACTTAGTTACTGTAGCTAGCCGCAGTCACTGCAATAATTCAGCAAACTAGAAAGTACGATTTTAGTAGGCAAGGGTGTGTATGCACAAAACAAACAATGGATGGCTCAACCTTGTTATATGTTAGCAGTATAGTATTACAAAGTAGTAGTGTTTTATTAAACCACCTTGTTATATGTTAGCAGTACAGTATTACAAAGGAGTAGTGCTTTATTAAACCACCTTGTTATATGTTAGCAGTACAGTATTACAAAGGAGTAGTGTTTTATTAAACCACCTTGTTATATGTTAGCAGTACAGTATTACAAAGGAGTAGTGCTTTATTAAACCACCTTGTTATATGTTAGCAGTACAGTATTACAAAGGAGTAGTAGCGTTTTATTAAACCACCTTGTTATATGTTAGCAGTACAGTATTACAAAGGAGTAGTAGCGTTTTATTAAACCACCTTGTTATATGTTAGCAGTACAGTATTACAAAGGAGTAGTAGCGTTTTATTAAACCACCTTGGTACAGTGAGGGAAAAAAGTATTTGATCCCTTGCTGATTTTGTACGTTTGCCTACTGACAAAGACATGATCAGTCCATAATTTTAATGGTAGGTTTATTTGAACAGTGAGAGACAGAATAACAACAACAAAAATCCAGAAAAACACATGTCAAAAATGTTATAAATTGATTTGCATTTTAATGAGGGAGATAAGTATTTGACCCCTCTGCAAAACATGACTTAGTACTTGGTGACAAAACCCTTGTTGGCAATCACAGAGGTCAGATGTTTCTTGTAGTTGGCCACCAGGTTTGCACACATCTCAGGAGGGATTTTGTCCCACTCCTCTTTGCAGATCTTCTTCAAGTCATTAAGGTTTCGAGGCTGACATTTGGCAACTCGAACCTTCAGCTCCCTCCACAGATTTTCTATGGGATTAAGGTCTGGAGACTGGCTAGGCCACTCCAGGACCTTAATGTGCCTCTTCTTGAGCCACTCCTTTGTTGCCTTGGCCGTGTGTTTAGGGTCATTGTCATGCTGGAATACCCATCAACGACCCATTTTCAATGCCCTGGCTGAGGGAAGGAGGTTCTCACCCAAGATTTGACGGTACATCCCCGTCCATCGTCCCTTTGATGCGTTGAAGTTGTCCTGTCCCCTTAGCAGAAAACACCCCCAAAGCATAATGTTTCCACCTCCATCTTTGACGGTGGGGATGGTGTTCTTGGGGTCATAGGCAGCATTCCTCCTCCTACAAACACGGCGAGTTGAGTTGATGCCAAAGAGCTCGATTTTGGTCTCATCTGACCACAACACTTTCACCCAGTTCTCCTCTGAATCATTCAGATGTTCATTGGCAAACTTCAGACGGCCCTGTATATGTGCTTTCTTGAGCAGAGGGACCTTGCGGGCGCTGCAGGCTTTCAGTCCTTCACGGCGTAGTGTGTTACCAATTGTTTTCTTGGTGACTATGGTCCCAGCTGCCTTGAGATCATTGACAAGATCCTCCCGTGTAGTTCTGGGCTGATTCCTCACCGTTCTCATGATCATTGCAACTCCACTAGGTGAGGTCTTGTATGGAGCCCCAGGCCGAGGGAGATTGAGAGGGGGTCAAATACTTATTTCCCTCATTAAAATGCAAATCAATTTATAACATTTTTGACATGCGTTTTTTGACATACAAAATCAGCAGGGTATCAAATACTTTTTTCCCCCTCACTGTATATATTAGCAGTACAGTATTACAAAGGAGTATTGTTTTATTAAACCACCTTGGTATACACTACCAGTCAAAGGTTTGGACACACCTACTCATTCAAGGGTTTTTCTTTATTTGTACTATTTTCGACATTGTAGAATAATAGTGAAGACATCAAAACTATGAAATAACACATATGGAATCATGTAGTAACCAAAAAAATATACTTTAGATTTGAGATTCTTCAAAGTAGCCACCCTTTGCCTTGATGACAGCTTTGCACACTATTGGCATTCTCTCATCCAGCTTCATGAGGAATGCTTTTCCAACAGTCTTGAAGGAGTTCCCACATATGCTGAGCACTTGTTGGCTGCTTTTCCTTCACTCTGCAGTCCAACTCATCCCAAACCATCTCAATTGGGTAGAGGTCGGGTGATTGTGGAGGCCAGGTCATCTGATGCAGCACTCCATCACCCTCCTTCTTGGTGAAATAGCCCTTACACTGCCTGGAGGTGTGTTTTGGGTCATTTTCCTGTTGAAAAACAAATGATAGTCCCACTAAGTGCAAACCAGATGGGATGGCGTATTGCTGCAGAATGCTGTGGTAGCCATGCTGGTTAAGTGTGCCTTGAATTCTAAATAAAATCACCAACAGTGTCACCAGCAAAGCACCATCACACCTCCTCCTCCATGCTTCACGGTGGGAACCACACATGCAGAGATCATCCGTTCACCTACTCTTCGTCTCACAAAGACACGGCGGTTGGAACCAAAAATCTCACATTTGGACTCATCAGACCAAAGGACAGATTTCCACCAGTCTAATGTCCATTGCTCGTGTTTCTTGGCCCAAGCAAGTCTCTTCTTTTTATTGGTTATCTTTAGTAGTGGTTTATTTGCAGCAATTCAACCGTGAAGGCCTGATTCACACAGTCTCCTCTGAACAGTTGATGTTGAGATGTGTCTGTTACTTGAACTCTGTGAAGCATTTATTTGGGCTGCAATCTGAGGTGCATTTAACTCTAATGAACGTATCCTCTGCAGCAGTGGTAACTCTGGGTCTTTCTTTCCTGTGGTGGTCCTCATGAGAGCCAGTTTCATCATAGCGCTTGAAGGTTTTTGAGATTGCACTTGAAGAAACTTTCAAAGTTCTTGACATTTTTCGGATTGACTGACCTTCATGTCTTAAAGTAATGATGGACTGTCTTTTCTCTTTGCTTATTTGAGCTGTTTTTGCCATAATATGGACTTGGTCTTTCACCAAATAGGGCTATCTTCTGTGTACCACCCCTACTTTGTCACAACACAACTGATTGGCTCAAACGCATTAACTTTTAACAAGGCACACCTGTTAATTGAAATGCATTCCAAGTGACTACCTCATGAAGCTGGTTGAGAGAATGCCAAGAGTGTGCAAAGCTGTCAAGACAAAGGGTGGCTACTTTGAAGAATCTGAAATATAAAATATATTTTGATTAGGTTAACACTTTTTTTGGATACTACATGATTCCATATGTGTTATTTCATAGCTTTGATGTCTTCACTATTATTCTACAATGTAGAAAATAGTACAAATAAAGAAAACCCTGGAATGAGTAGGTGTGTCCAAACCTTTGACTGGTACTGTATGTTAGCAGTACAGTATTACAAAGGAGTAGTGTTTTATTAAACACCCATGTTATATGTTAGCAGTACAGTATTACAAAGGAGTAGTGTTTTATTAAGCCACCTTGATATATGTTAGCAGTACAGTATTACAAAGGAGTAGTGTTTTATTAAGCCACCTTGGTATATGTTAGCAGTAGCAGTGAAAAGGAAGGGTGCAGTAAATCAAGACTGGGAAAGACATTTAGATTCATTTAGGAAATAAAAAAAGGTTTACTGAGTGAAACCAAAAGAGCAGTTTGTAACGGTGTTCCGTCTCACCCTAGATACTACGCTGATTGGATAAGGCCCTACATCTATAAGTTACACCATGTATCATCAGCACGTGTACTATACTGTACATCCTCAGGTTAGTGCATTACCACCATGACGTTCTGGACTGAGAATAAAAATACTTGATTATATTCTGTTAAATCATATTATACATATCACACAATGAGAGAAATAAATCATACTATGTGCAACATTAAATACGTAGAAATAAAATAGAATGAAGTGATAAATGAAGGGTATATGATAGAAAATAGGCAGCTAAGAGGAAGTGCAAGTGATTTCAGAAAAATACACGACTTCTAGAAAGGAAAATGACCTTAAAAAAGAGTCAACCTGAAGATGTCCTTCATTACAAAATCGATTCATTCATTTCCCTGTAGCATAAAGAGCAGCGTCTGTCTTCCTTGCTGTCATACAGAGAGAAATCAACTCATTTCTCCGTCGTCTCTTGATGATGAGATGGTCACTCTCTTTCACGTTTGGAACGCCACTGATGATCTGAGACAGGAGGTCAACAGGTTCAGATTTACGACCGAAGTTAATCAACAAGTACCTTTTACATGACAGCCACCATAATCAACCTCAAACGAATGGGAATCACTATCCATAGGGCATGGCTGACCAGCGTAGGACCTGAACTTGCTAGGTTTGCCTTCGTGCACACCTTGCTATTTGGGCACACACCTGTGATAAACAACATATCCCCCCCCCCCCGAAAATTGATGAAGAACCCTGCTGATGAATAAATCTAAAAATGAAGACCTGCTGTCCCAACAGTTATGTTGGCCATGGTTTGGAGCAGCCCTACCAATCATATATTCCCTGTTTGTAGTCATCAGACGTAGGGCTGGGCCATATATCGTACGGATGGATCCACATACAGGTATGGATTTTTACAATACACGACTCTAATGATTTGTTTATACAGTGCTAAATAAATAAACAAGTTATACAAAATTGGACTACTTCCCTGTCAGTTTTGGTTGAGTATAAACCAATCAGAATGGAGAAAGCCCATTAAAACCCAAATGAAGAAAGCCCATTAAAACCAGAATGGAGAAAGCCCATTAAAACCAGAATGGAGAAAGCCCATTAAAACCATGTAGAATGCATTTGTAGCCATCCTAGGGTCCTGCACTACTCATCAGGGGTTGGAACCGATTGTTTCGTTCTGAACCATTATTCTTTTCGTTCCGTTCCACTGTTCCAACCAGCAAAATGAAGTTCTGAACTGGTTCGAACCCCAAACAAAGTACTGGTTTATGTTCTTCCATTCTTTTCCTTTTTCTACCTGTGAAATCAACCGTTTTTTTACATTTGGCTCATTAAATGACTCCACCAACCAGTGGGGATAGAGCAGGCAAGCTAGTTGTTTCCATGAGTGATGGACAGACAAGTGTAGCGTATGGCGCAAGACGCAACTATACAAAAATGCCTGGAACGTAAAATGACATTATTAACCGGTTCCCATGCTTTTAAAAATAACGGTTCTGTTCCGTAACAGTATGGATCACTTTCATTCCCGGTTCCGTTTCTGTTCCTTGAAAATTTTCATTATTTTCCCGGTGTTCCGTTTCCTGAACCGGTTCCAACCCCTGCTACTCATAAAACATATTTAAAACGTGTATTATTCAGAAACATTAAAATACCGCTATACCGTCAACAATAAGACAAATATTGTGATGTACTTTGGCCATATCGCCCCCCAGCCCTAATCAGACGGACGGGCAGCTGGCTGTGGGTTCTCACCGAGTGGGAGGAGATCTCTGGCCTGTACAGCTTCCACTTGGACTTCATGGGTCTAAAGCTCATGGACCCCCCCCTTCCGTCTCTGGGGATTTCCTGCTCACCAATCCCATTATCTTTTTAGCTGCAGAGAAAAAGAGGGACGTAAGGGCTTTTAAAAAGCTGAGCAGCATAAAGCCAATAAAAAGTTAAAGTCAGAGCAAGCCATTACTGTAGGCTAGAAAGAGCAGCCATGTACTAGCTGTGGACTGAGATAGACCGGACAGCAGCCATGGACTAGCTGTGGACTGAGAGAGACCGGACAGCAGCCATGGACTAGCTGTGGACTGAGAGAGACCGGACAGCAGCCATGGACTAGCTGTGGACAGAGAGAGACCGGACAGCAGCCATGGACTAGCTGTGGACTGAGAGAGACCGGACAGCAGCCATGGACTAGCTGTGGACTGAGAGAGACCGGACAGCAGCCATGGACTAGCTGTGGACTGAGAGAGACCGGACAGCAGCCATGTACTAGCTGTGGACTGAGAGAGACCGGACAGCAGCCATGTACTAGCTGTGGACTGAGATAGACCGGACAGCAGCCATGGACTAGCTGTGGACTGAGAGAGACCGGACAGCAGCCATGGACTAGCTGTGGACTGAGAGAGACCGGACAGCAGCCATGGACTAGCTGTGGACTGAGAGAGACCGGACAGCAGCCATGGACTAGCTGTGGACTGAGAGAGACCGGACAGCAGCCATGGACTAGCTGTGGACTGAGAGAGACCGGACAGCAGCCATGTACTAGCTGTGGACTGAGAGAGACGGACAGCAGCCATGTACTAGCTGTGGACTGAGAGAGACCGGACAGCAGCCATGGACTAGCTGTGGACTGAGAGAGACGGACAGCAGCCATGGACTAGCTGTGGACAGAGAGACCGGACAGCAGCCATGGACTAGCTGTGGACTGAGAGAGACCGGACAGCAGCCATGGACTAGCTGTGGACAGAGAGAGACCGGACAGCAGCCATGGACTAGCTGTGGACTGAGAGAGAACCGGACAGCAGCCATGGACTAGCTGTGGACTGAGAGAGACCGGACAGCAGCCATGGACTAGCTGTGGACTGAGAGAGACCGGACAGCAGCCATGGACTAGCTGTGGACAGAGAGAGACCGGACAGCAGCCATGGACTAGCTGTGGACTGAGAGAGACCGGACAGCAGCCATGGACTAGCTGTGGACAGAGAGAGACCGGACAGCAGCCATGGACTAGCTGTGGACAGAGAGGACCGGACAGCAGCCATGGACTAGCTGTGGACAGAGAGAGACCGGACAGCAGCCATGGACTAGCTGTGGACTGAGAGAGACCGGACAGCAGCCATGGACTAGCTGTGGACTGAGAGAGAAAGGACAGCAGCCATGGACTAGCTGTGGACTGAGAGAGTACCGGACAGCAGCCATGGACTGAGAGAGACCGGACAGCAGCCATGGACTAGCTGTGGACTGAGAGAGAAAGGACAGCAGCCATGGACTAGCTGTGGACTGAGAGAGACCGGACAGCAGCCATGGACTGAGAGAGACCGGACAGCAGCCATGGACTAGCTGTGGACAGAGAGACCGGACAGCAGCCATGGACTAGCTGTGGACTGAGAGAGACCGGACAGCAGCCATGGACTAGCTGTGGACTGAGAGAGACCGGACAGCAGCCATGGACTAGCTGTGGACTGAGAGAGACCGGACAGCAGCCATGGACTGAGAGAGACCGGACAGCAGCCATGGACTAGCTGTGGACAGAGAGACCGGAGAGCAGCCATGTACTAGCTGTGGACTGAGAGAGACCGGACAGCAGCCATGGACTAGCTGTGGACTGAGAGAGACCGGACAGCAGCCATGGACTGAGAGAGACCGGACAGCAGCCATGGACTAGCTGTGGACAGAGAGACCGGACAGCAGCCATGGACTAGCTGTGGACAGAGAGACGGACAGCAGCCATGGACTAGCTGTGGACAGAGAGAGTGTGTTTTGTGTCACTGCAGATGTGTGGTTTCTGTTTCTGTCTCTTTGATCTGATGATAATGACACAGTCTGCTCGGTGCTCTATACTCTGCAGTGCCGTTCTTTGTGCGATAGACAGTCATGCAGTCAGTGCAGAGTTGCACCAAGCCATTCCTTGCTACTGTTAGTGTCAACTCTTACCCTTGCTACCGAAGAATGTTGGGGAGCTCTGGAGGAAGTCTCCCGATCTTCCGCATCGTTCCTTCTTTCCTGCTCTGCAGGCTGGACTGGGAGTCCTGGGGCCTCATGGAGCCCTGGTCTTTACTGCCCCCGGCCGGAGACGGCTACAGATGGAGGAGAAACCATGACATAAGTAGTTCAATAAGTAATGGAAAGACTGTGAGATTATATACTTTATTGTCCCCGAGGGGAAATTTGACAGTGCTAGTGCTTCTACATGAATACATAGAATCAATTGAAACAAGGTGCATATGTCACCTGTATTTAACTAGGCAAGTCAGTTAAGAACAAATTCTTATTTACAATGACGGCCCACACCGGCCAAACCCGGACGACGCTGGGCCAATTGTGCGCCGCCCTATGGGACTCCCAATCACGGCCGGGTTGTGATACAGCCTGGAATCGAACCAGGGGGGTCTGTAGTGACGCCTCAAGCACTGAGATGCAGCGCCTTAGACCACTGCGCCACTCGGAAGCCCAGCATAGAGTAGCATTGTCATCATACATCCCCCTCCCTACCCACACAAACGTGCATTAGTTCATGCCAGGCAAAGGCTGTGACTAGATGACACTTCCACATCATGACGGCCTACAGGCCAGGCTCCAGTCCTTTATCATAGTCCTCCCTGATCAGCCTCTGTGTCTCCCCTACCGTTTAACCGTTTTATTGACAGGGGGACAAAAAAAACACGTTTGTATCTGTTCAAACTAACATCTGCTCAAACATAAAAAAGCTGTGTCTCACCTCATCTTGCTGCACAGCCAGTTTAGGAGTCGGTCCGGTTCTGGGGTTTCTACGGGTCTCACTGTGCACGTCATCCTGAGAAAGACGAGCACAGAGGAGAGAGATATGAGACGAGGGAGAGAAATTAAAACCCCACGGTGTGGATTTAGTTTTATGAATGTATAAGATTTCAAAATATCAGTTGAAGAAATACAATTATGAAATGCCGGGGATCAGATAGGAGCTATGGATTTAGTTTTATGAATGTATAGATTGAGAGATCAATTGAATAAATAAAATGCCAAACGTTTCAAGAGTCCCATGCAATTGCAGGTTGAATACATCAGTAGGTTTCCAATTATTGATGTGGATTAACAATGTATGTTTCACAGCTCTAGCGTAGGCCATCCCTTACACAAATCTAGTCTGAAATGTTCAGCTCATGGCAAAATAAACCCTCAAGCTAAATGTGTACTCCAAAATAAAAGCATCTTCAATAACTTATCGGTAACATCTGTCCAACTCTGCACTTTGCTTTTACATAAGATGCTGTATCAAGCATGTTTCAAGTTCTGGAGTTTGTTTCTGTATTTTATAAGTTATAGTCTTCAATAATCAATGGGTATATATATTATTATTTATAGAAATAACCACTGAACAGTAGGAAATACCCAGCGCTGAAACACTCCCGTCATTTAAAATCACAACCATTCCATATTGTCAGAGGACTTCCATAGCTTTGCCATTACGCCAACCGAGGTATTACCGACCAGACCAAAGTAATAGAAAATAGAGCGGGGATGGCGATTGATGGGGTAACATGCATGATCACAAACATGCATGAAGAGGGGAGGAGTACCTGAGATGGGAGGTCATGTGATTCTCTCCGTTTAGCTATTACTGTCCCACATTTTCTTCGTCAAAAAGAAAGAGGTTTGTTATAAGCGGTGGGAAACAACGGAAAAACCTCTGAACTAACAAGTAAAGGAAAAGTTAGCAAGAATAACCTGAGTTGTCTACACCGAGGGCTATATGCGTCAACCATGTACAAAGTAACTAACCAACCACAGACACCTATAAAATCTGACATTGCCATGATATTATATTGACACCTGAATTACATCAGGACTAAAACGCTACAAGGACGTGTCATGTTTTTAAAAAAAATACTTCCAAGAGCACATTTAAAATGTTTAGACTGGCTTAAGCCCGCGCTGAAGTCAACTTCTGGTGCATTTATCTTTAATACTAAAACCATTGCCCTCTTTATGTGTTTGTGAAAAATAATTAACCGTCTAAAAGATTTAGTGGCTGTTTTTTTTTTCCGCCTGGATCGATGAAGGCAGAGCGAAAGCTGATAACACCCTCATAATTAAGTAAATAAAAAGTGTATTACTAAATAGAGAACATTGTGAAATATATATTTAATTTAACTGGATTTTCCTTTGTTGTCGTCTCTCAACATATCTTTCTTCACATCTCGTGTTGAACAAAACGTTTGGTATTTTATTCCCAGCAATGGGGAGTCAGAGACACAGACACAGGGGAATGGGATGTTTTTGTGTCCCAAAAAACAGAGTGGCTGAGTAACACTAAAAATAGGACTAGGAACATCAGCGCTCCCATGAACTCATTTAACAGTGTTGCTAAGTAACACTAAAAATAGGACTAGGAATATCAGAGCTCCCATGAACTCATATAACAGTGTTGCTAAGTAACACTAAAAATAGGACTAGGAACATCAGAGCTCCCATGAACTCATATAACAGTGTTGCTAAGTAACACTAAAAATAGGACTAGGAACATCAGAGCTCCCATGAACTCATATAACAGTGTTGCTAAGTAACACTAAAAATAGGACTAGGAACATCAGTGCACCTATGGAGTCACCTGCTGTGCTGTGTGGGCTTTAGTTAGTTACCATGTTGTTAAGCACAGGCCATGTTTAAAGACAGTGGACCAAACCACTCTCTGCTGAGGCTGTGCCTCTGCCGTCAGCGCCATCTCTCACACATACACACACACTTTTCCCAAGTCCTCAGGTGAATCTCAACAGTATTTCCTTGTTTCCTTGTCTCCTTCTCATTGGACCAGAAGATCTGAGGTTCCTCCCCTTCTCAACCAATGCGTTTTGAGAGGGACGCGAACAATCAAGTAAATACAACAGAGATTCTCCCCCTCGTCTCTCTCTCTCTCCTCCCCCCTCTCTCCCATCGTCTCTACTCCCCCCTCTCTCCCGTCGTCTCTCCTCCCCTCTCTCTCTTTCCTACAACTGGGACAGTCAGCAGGGAAGTCATTAATGAAATTCCTTTAGTCTTTAACTGCAGAGGTTTAACCCCATAAATACTCCTTCTATATGGAGGCAATACAGCACAATAGCCTTCACTCACTCCTAAGTCACTGCAGCAGAGACCCACCTCCTACGTCACTGCAGCAGAGACCCACCTCCTAAGTCACTGCAGCAGAGACCCACCTCCTACGTCACTGCAGCAGAGACCCACCTCCTACGTCACTGCAGCAGAGACCCACCTCCTACGTCACTGCAGCAGAGACCCACCTCCTACGTCACTGCAGCAGAGACCCACCTCCTACGTCACTGCAGCAGAGACCCACCTCCTACGTCACTGCAGCAGAGACCCACCTCCTACGTCACTGCAGCAGAGACCCACCTCCTAAGTCACTGCAGCAGAGACCCACCTCCTACGTCACTGCAGCAGAGACCCACCTCCTACGTCACTGCAGCAGAGACCCACCTCCTAAGTCACTGCAGCAGAGACCCACCTCCTACGTCACTGCAGCAGAGACCCACCGCCTAAGTCACTGCAGCAGAGACCCACCTCCTACGTCACTGCAGCAGAGACCCACCGCCTAAGTCACTGCAGCAGAGACCCACCTCCTACGTCACTGCAGCAGAGACCCACCTCCTACGTCACTGCAGCAGAGACCCACCTCCTACGTCACTGCAGCAGAGACCCAGACTCATTATTATCAACTCATTATATTTACACAATAGATCCCACCAATAATGTAACGGGGAAACTCTTATTTACTTCCATTAAAGGAAGCACAAGCTTTTCATTTCAACGCATAATGTAAGACGGGGCAGTAAATTAATATATGTTCAACAACTTGTTCTTAAGTTGAACCTAATTAACACTTCATTACGGCTTATCTGAGGCAATGAAAACATTTTTGCTTCTTGCTTGGTTTCTTACGCCATTGCAATTAGTTAGGTGGATGACTGCTGACTTTAATGGGATAACAGAACTGTAGCAGTACTAATGCTCTCTCCAAAAATAGACTTGGATGACTGACAGGAGAGAGACCACCACCTGCATGGTAAGATGGACACGGTCTGCATCTCGGTTGAGAGAAGGACCCTGGGACTGAGCCTCCAGTACGTCCCTCCCACACCTTGTCAATCTCAGCGCTCTTCCTCTTGCGTGTGATTTTGACGTTGACCACGCCCTCTCTGCCTGGCGTTTCAGGGCCATCCTGTCGGGCTGCAGCGGGCTGAAGGAGATCTCAAGCTCAGGCTTGGGGAAGCGTCTGGTCCTGCCTCCCTCCGTTGAGATCTGAGGAGTCTAGCACCGATGGGTAGTCCCCAGACCCCTACGAGACAGGGGTACACAGTATTGACAGTGAGGGTGAGTGTGGGTTAACCTACAGAGAGTGCCTAATTTTACATTTACATTTACGTCATTTAGCAGATGCTCTTATCCAGAGCCACTTACAGTTAGTGAGTGCATACATTATTTTACTTTTCATACTGGCCCCCCGTGGGAATTGAACCCACAACCCTGGCATTGCAAACGCCATGCTCTACCAACTGAGCTACATCCCTGCCGGCCATTCCCTCCCCTACCCTGGACGACGCAGGGCCAATTATGCGCCGCCCCATGGGTCTCCCGGTCGCGGCCGGCTACGACAGAGCCTGGATTCGAACCAGGATCTCTAGTGGCACAGCTAGCACTGCGATGCAGCGCCTTAGACCACTGCGCCACTTGGGAGGCTAATCAGTTGGAACCATGCAGCGCGGTCTTCTGACAGATGGCATCATTCTAACGCGTTGCCAGGAGCCATCTGGGCTGCAAATCGTTGAACTCATCTTTAAAAAACAAGATTTTCTCTTCACCCACGTGAAAATAGTTCTTAAAAATCACTGCGCTCTCCCATGACTACCGTAGCTATGGAGCTAGTGATGGGCATTCCGAGTCTTTTCAGTGAGTCTGATAATTTTGCTCCATTCACCTAAAAGAGCCGTTCATTTGGCTCACCTCCCAAACGGCTCTTTGTTCAGTAGTGCTTAAAATTGACCTAAAACCATGACAAAATTGTCAATCTCTAATTTAAAGGCAAAAACATTGCCTACCATTATGTCAGATCGTGAAATGAGAGTTCAAATACATTTTTACCTGACAAAATAATTAAGATAGTCTGCCAAAAAAAATGTACATTTATTTTTACTCACTGCAAAAATAAGCGTGGACCAGAATGAGGCTCTCTCCCCACTATCTAAGCCGACCCTAGGCAACAGCAGTGACTCCCAACAAATCACGAGGCAGACATGCCAGAACGTCGCAACTCGAAACCAAGGTTTGCAGGCCAAGATTTTAGCGAAGATAATCTCAGTGATCATCTTGATAGCTACTATTTTGTGTCTGGGGGATGTGGGCAACAGACGTAGGAAAGGATGTACGGAGTCTATGCCAAACTGACGTTCTGTTATGTAACGCCGGGAGACTGGAACATTGTGGGAGGACACCCGGATGTCTAGAGAGATTAGGCATGTACAGTGAGGGAAAAAAGTATTTGATCCGCTGCCGATTTTGTACGTTTGCCCACTGACAAAGACATGATCAGTCTATAATTTTAATGGTAGGTTTATTTGAACAGTGAGAGACAGAATAACAACAAAAAAATGTCAAAAAATTATAGCATGTCAAAAATGTTATAAATTGATTTGCATTTTAATGAGGGAAATAAGTATTTGACCCCTCTGCAAAACATGACTTAGTACTTGGTGGCAAAACCCTTGTTGGCAATCACAGAGGTCAGACGTTTCTTGTAGATGGCCACCAGGTTTGCACACATCTCAGGAGGGATTTTGTCCCACTCCTCTTTGCAGATCTTCTCCAAGTCATTAAGGTTTCGAGGCTGACGTTTGGCAACTCGAACCGTCAGCTCCCTCCACAGATTTTCTATGGGATTAAGGTCTGGAGACTGGCTAGGCCACTCCAGGACCTTAATGCGCCTCTTCTTGAGCCACTCCTTTGTTGCCTTGGCCGTGTGTTTTGGGTCATTGTCATGCTGGAATACCCATCCACGACCCATTTTCAATGCCCTGGCTGAGGGAAGGAGGTTCTCACCCAAGATTTGACAGTACATGGCCCCGTCCATCGTCCCTTTGATGCAGTGAAGTTGTCCTGTCCCCTTAGCAGAAAAACACCCCCAAAGCATAATGTTTCCACCTCCATGTTTGATGGTGGGGATGGTGTTCTTGGGGTCATAGGCAGCATTCCTCCTCCTCCAAACACGGCGAGTTGAGTTGATGCCAAAGAGCTCGATTTTGGTCTCATCTGACCACAACACTTTCACCCAGTTCTCCTCTGTATCATTCAGATGTTCATTGGCAAACTTCAGACGGCCCTGTATATGTGCTTTCTTGAGCAGGGGGACCTTGCGGGCGCTGCAGGATTTCAGTCCTTCACGGCGTAGTGTGTTACCAATTGTTTTCTTGGTGACTATGGTCCCAGCTGCCTTGAGATCATTGACAAGATCCTCCCGTGTAGTTCTGGGCGGATCCCTCACCGTTCTCATGATCATTGCAACTCCACGAGGTGAGATCTTGCATGGAGCCCCAGGCTGAGGGAGATTGACAGTTCTTTTGTGTTTCTTCCATTTGCGAATAATCGCACCAACTGTTGTCACCTTCTCACCAAGCTGCTTGGCAATGGTCTTGTAGCCAATTCCAGCCTTGTGTAGGTCTACAATCTTGTCCCTGACATCCTTGGAGAGCTCTTTGGTCTTGGCCATGGTGGAGAGTTTGGAATCTGATTGATTGATTGCTTCTGTGGACAGGTGTCTTTTATACAGGTAACAAACTGAGATTAGGAGCACTCCCTTTAAGAGTGTGCTCCTAATCTCAGCTCGTTACCTGTATAAAAGACACCTGGGAGCCAGAAATCTTTCTGATTGAGAGGGGGGTCAAATACTTATTTCCCTCATTAAAATGCAAATCAATTTATAACATTTTTGACATGCGTTTTTCTGGATTTTGTTGTTGTTATTCTGTCTCTCACTGTTCAAATAAACCTACCATTAAAAATTATAGACTGATCATTTCTTTGTCAGTGGGCAACCGTACAAAATCAGCAGGGGATCAAATACTTTTTTCCCCCCCTCACTGTAACGCCGGAAGACTGGAACATTGTGGGAGGACACCCGGATGTCTAGAGACATTACCTGACTGGTCCTCTTCACAGTCTTTACTCCATGTCCTAGTTGACGGTTGTCATGGAGAGTCCTTTTGGAGGGCACTCCTCTGCTTTAGTCCGTGAGAGATATCATGGACAACATCCATTGTATTAACAAGACCAACATACAACATATGGATGGGGGATTGAATAAAAAGTTATATTTTTTGATAATGTGTACTGCACTGCTGAGGAGAGTTTGCAAGTAAGCATTTCACTGTACCGTTTACACCCTGTATCCAGGGCACGAAACCAATCAACTTTTTTATTTTATTTGTTATGATGGAGACTGCTCCCTCACCTAATTGGCTGTCTCTCTGTGTTTAGTAGGGTCTGTGACATTGCTGCTGGCTTTGGATGCAGCTTTCAGTTGTTCCTTCAGGTTAATAATCTCAGTGTCTCTCACAGACAGAAGGCCCTGTAGTTCATCTTCCTCCATCTTCCCACGTGGTCCAAAGTTGTGTTCTCTATCATGCTACAGTACCACAAAAGGTCTATAAAGTGAACTGTGCCTCAATACAAAGTTTGTGTCAGTTTTTAATTTCAAAAGAATTGATAATAAAAATATAATAAATAATTTGTAGAGTGCATTTCAATGCGCGCAACATTTTTCCAATAATGATAAGTGCAAAATACAACTCTTTTAAATTGAAATGACCAACAACCCTTCATCCAATCTTAACCCAATTATTCCCACCTTAACGCCGGCGCGTCTTGGACTCCTGACCCCTTTTTAAAACAGCACGCTTTCTTGATCAAACCATTGGATTCCTCGACTTTCTTCTGCATCTGTAAATACCAACCATTAGTTTGTGTGAATAACTGGGCTGAGCTAGAGCGGTGTTAGTGAGATAAAGGCGGATTCCGAAGGGGCCCGGGGCCGGGTCTTTTTTACAAAAACAACTGTAGAGTCCGAATGGTTTGAGCAACAAACTATTAAAAGCTATCTGTGAAAGGCCGAGACTCTCACGAACACACACATAGAAGATCGTAAGAAATCCCAGGACACAGTGTCTATAATACTGTAATAAACCTCACATAGTTGCTGTCAAAGACTCCAAACTCCACACAGCTGTCACTGACTAGTTGGATAGCAGTGGAGGCTGCTGAGGGAAGGTCGGCTCATAATAATAGCTGGAAAAGAGTGAATTGAATGGCATCACCGTCCTGTGTTGGATATTTATTTCCCAGTGAGCAAACTACTTCTGTACTTACAGCATTCATTTAAATTCATTTTAAAATCCGTTTATTTTGCTTTGACGGCCCTTATTCTTTTCAATGACATTTTTCAATATAAAACACATGAATGCAACTCTTTATGTCAAATTGTTATGTGTTCTACTTGTAGCCCTGGTTGTCCTGAAAATAAAATGATAAATGACAGACAGGTAAATGAAAAGCCCATTTTTGCTGGGGTTTTTGGGACTGAAGAGTTAATAGCGCTCATTCGTATAGTTCCAAATGAAAATAGTCTGACAGTGCCAACCAACTAAAGAGTCAATCATGTGTGCTTGAACTGACCTCTGCTGGCTGAGACGTGGTATTGCAGCGGAGACTGGCTATCTGTTCATCCTTGTCTGCGATGCTGGAGAGGAGTTTGGTTAGCTGGACCTCCAGAGCTGCCACCAGGGTGTCCCTCCCCTTCCTCCACTTCAGTAGGTCCCTCCCCTTCCTCCACTACAGTAGGTCCCTCCCCTTCCTCCACTTCAGTAGGTCCCTCCCCTTCCTCCACTACAGTAGGTCCCACCCCTTCCTCCACTTCAGTAGGTCCCTCCCCTTCCCCCACTTCAGTAGGTCCCTCCCCTTCCTCCACTACAGTAGGTCCCTCCCCTTCCTCCACTACAGTAGGTCCCTCCCCTTCCTCCACTTCAGTAGGTCCCTCCCCTTCCTCCACTACAGTAGGTCCCTCCCCTTCCTCCACTTCAGTAGGTCCCTCCCTTCCTCCATACAGTAGGTCCCTCCCCTTCCTCCACTACAGTAGGTCCCTCCCTTCCTCCACTACAGTAGGTCCCTCCCCTTCCTCCACTACAGTAGGTCCTCCCCTTCCCCACTACAGTAGGTCCCTCCCCTTCCTCCACTTCAGTAGGTCCCATCCCCTTCCTCCACTCAGTAGGTCCCTCCCCTTCCTCCACTACAGTAGGTCCCTCCCCTTCCTCCTCACTACAGTAGGTCCCTCCCCTTCCTCCACTTCAGTAGGTCCCTCCCCTTCTCATCACAGTGCCTCTTCAAGTGTCCCTCCCCTTATTCCACACAGTAGGTCCTACCCTTCCACTACTAGGTCGTCCTGCTCCAATAAGCAAGGTCCCTCCACGTCCTCAACAGTAGGGTTTTCTACTACAGTAGGTATACCTTCCTCCATATAGGTCTCCCCATCACTCCACTGACAGTGGGTCCACCCTTCTCCACTTCAGTAGGTCCCTACCTCTCACTTCAGTAGGTCCCTCCCTTCCTACTAGTGGCCCTCCCCTTCTTCATACACTAGGTCCTCCTCCTGCACGTCATTTAGGGTCCCTCCCTCCCTCCACTACAGTGGTCCCACCCCTTCCTCCACTTCAGTAGGTCCCTCCCCTTCCTCCACTCAGTAGGTCCCTCCCCTTCCTCCACTACAGTAGGTCGGCTCCTTCCTCCACTACAGTAGGTCCCTCCCCTTCCTCCACTTCAGTAGGTCCCCCCTTCCTCCTACTGTCCGGCTCCTCCCTCCACTCAAGTAGGTCCCTCCCCTTCCTCCACTTCAGTAGGTCCCTCCCTTCCTCCACTACAGTAGGTCCGGCTCCCTTCCTCCATTTACAGTAGGTCCCTCCCCTTCCTCCACTTCAGTAGGTCCCTCCCCTTCCTCCACTTCAGTAGGTCCCTCCCCTTCCTCCACTACAGTAGGTCCCTCCCCTTCCTCCACGTCAGTAGGTCCCTCCCCTTCCTCCACTACAGTAGGTCCCTCCCCTTCCTCCACTACAGTAGGTCCCTCCCCTTCCTCCACTTCAGTAGGTCCCTCCCCTTCCTCCACTTCAGTAGGTCCCTCCCCTTCCTCCACTACAGTAGGTCCCTCCCCTTCCTCCACTACAGTAGGTCCCTCCCCTTCCTCCACTTCAGTAGGTCCGGCTCCTTCTCAGTGAGCTGGGCCACCAGGGCCTCCTACAGGTTCACACAGAAAGACAGAGCGATTTCTTAGGCTGCATTTTTCACAGGCAGCCCAATTCTGATATGTTTAACAAATTATTGGCAAAAGGTCTGATCTGATTGGTTAAAACACCAATCTGTGTAAACGCAGCTTTTGTACGCTCTGTCTGTAGAGGGTATTGCAGCTGTATTCTAAGGAAAACCTCCCCGGACGTTTCACAATGTTGTTGTTGTTGTCCTGAACTAGATCACATGATTCACCTAGTAAAGGGCTTGACGATTAGTTGAATCAGGTTTGATAACTGTGGAATTAGTTCATACATGGAACGGCTGGACGTCCCCCGATGGGAGGTTTGACCCCTGTGCGAACTTCCTCATCTCCTGGTTCCTCTTTTCCTCGGCCTCCTTGGGCCAGCCGGATCAGAACAGTCTTTCCTCAAGCCACTTTCTCCTGTCAGCTTGGTGCTTCTCAGTACACAGCTAGAAACACACACGATCACTTATCCTTGGCAGTACACTTTCACGTACTGATTCATCCAATGTAAAAAGGAGAGGAGAAAATACACGTGATCAACAACTTCATATTGAGATGTCCACCTTCAAGGTCACTTGGGCCTGAACTGCTTCCTGATCTGCAGTGTCCTGGTAGAGTAACAGTCATTTCAGTTTATCCACCTCTGAAATAAACAACAACAAAAACACTTGAGTATTACCACCATGTTCAGTTGTAATTACTACGCTATGTTTAATTGACTGTACAATGTTTCGTATACACTGCTCAGTTTCGTAACACCTTCCTAATGAGTTGCACCCCCCCCCTTTCGCCGTCAGAACAGCCTCAATCCATTGTACTCAAAATGTCAATCTCAAAGTCTAACCCTGTGCCTACAGGATCCAGACCTGGGTTCAAATACTATTTAGGGTATTTCAAATACTTTCAAAGACATTTACACGCGTTTATACAGCGCAGTCTGAAAGTATTCAGACCCCTTCCCCTTATTTTGTTACGTTACAGCCTTATTCTAAAATGGATTAAATAAAAAATTTTCCTCATCAATGTTCACACAATACCCCATAATGACAAAGCGAAAACAGGTTTTTAGAAAACAATTCTCATTTGCTATGAGACTCGAAATTGAGCTCAGGCGCATCCTGTTTCCATTGATCATTCTTGAGATGTTTCTACAACTTGGAGTCCACCTGTGGTAATTTCAATTGATTGGACATGATTTGGACCAGCACACACCTGTCTGTCTATATAAGGTCACACAGTTGACAGTGCATGTCAGAGCAAAAACCAAGCCATGAGGTCGAAGGAATTGTCCGTAGAGCTCCGAGACAGGATTGTGTCGAGGCACAGATCTGGGGAAGGGTACCAAAAACTTTCTGCAGCATTGAAGATCCCCAAGAACACAGTGGCTTAAATCATTCTTAAGTGGAAGAAGTTTGGAACCACCAAGACTCTTCCTAGAGCTGGCCGCCCGGCCAAACTGAGCAATCGGGGGAGAAGGGCCTTGGTCAGGGAGGGGACCAAGAACCCGATGGTCACTCTGATAGAGCTCCAGAGTTCCTCTGTGGAGATGGAAGAACCTTCCAGAAAGACAACCATCTCTAACAGCATTCCACCAATCAGGCCTTTATGGTAGAGTGGCCAGATGGAATTCACTCCTTAGTAAAAAGGCACATGACAGCCCGCTTGGAGTTTGCCAAAAGGCACCTAAAGGACTCTCAGACTATGAGAAACCAGATTCTCTGGTCTGATGAAACCAAGATTGAACTCTTTGGTCTGAATGCCAAGCGTCACGTCTGGAGGAAACCTGGCACCATCCCTACAGTGAAGCATTGTAGTGGCAGCATCATGCTGTGGGGATGTTTTTCAGCGGCAGGGACTGGGAGACTAGTCAGGATCAAGGGAAAGATGAACAGAGCAAAGTACAGAGAGATCCTTGATGAAAACCTGCTCCAGAGCACTCAGGACCTCAGACTGGGGCGAAGGTTCACCTTCCAACAGGACAACGACCCTAAGCACACAGCCAAGACAACGCAGGAGTGGCTTCGGGACAAGTCTCTGAATGTCCTTGAGTGGCCCAGCCAGAGCCCGGACTTGAACCCTATCGAACATCTCTGGAGAGACCTGAAAATAGCTGTGCAGCGACGCGCCCCATCCAACCTGACAGAGCTGAGCCAAGCTTCTAGTGTCATCCATGGCCTCCTTGTAGCTCAGTTGGTAGAGCATGGCGCTTGCAACGGCAGGGTTGTGGGTTCGATTCCCACGGGGGGCCAGTATGAAAATGTATGCACTCACTAACTGTAAGTCACTCTGGA